AAAATTCAAATTTTTTCCAAGTCCACATGTCACATATTCAAAGATAGCCCACATGCTAGAGCATAAGTCGAATCTGCATAAATTTAAGCACATTGTATACAGACCTTTCTCTCTGACCACTGTACCATGAGGCTGGGAATCAACAGAAGGAAGATGAAGAAAGCAAGGGCAAACAATTGGAAGATGAATAACTCTATTGCAAAATGAGTGCATACTGGCCCACATCAGAAATGAAAATAGAAAATTTCTAGAAACAAACAACTTATGGGGCACAGCAAAGACTGTTATCAGAGGAAGTTTCATAGCAATGCATGCACACATGGAAAAGAAGAGAGACTTATGAGTGATGCTGGAACAAAATTTACAGCAACTAGAGCAGAGTCAACAGGACAATTCTAATAGTAAAAGAAAAGAAATAATAAAAATCAGGGCTGAAATTCAGAAGAGGGAAAATAAGAAAACTGTGGAAAAAATTAATGCTGCTAAAAGTTAGTTCTTTGAAAGGATAAACAGAGTTGACAGACTGCTGGCAAACCTAACCAAAGAAAGGAAGGAACAAATTTCAATAGCAAGATGAGAGCTGAAAGAGGGGACATTACAACGGACTCTAATGAAATCAAAATGGATAATTACACAGTACTATGAAGGACTGTTCTCCAATCAATTCAACAATCTAGAAGACACGGACAAATTCTTGGAAAAATAATCCTTTCCTTGACTATCCCCCATGGACGTCAATAATCTCACCAGAGCCATAGCAATAAAAGAAATAGACCAGGTTATCAAGGGATTACCAACTGTGGTAGTTACATAATCTGGTGTCAATTTGGGACTTGATTAGATTAACAGTGAAGAGGTGGAGTGCAGTCTGTCAATAGGATCATAGCCAATGGAGCCTCTGTATGGGCATGGTCTTCTCCTAAGAATTCTGGGAAATCCTGTTTTCGCTCCTTGGAGGTGGGAGACACAACCCCTCTCTTCTAACTTCCTTGGAGACTCTCTACTCACAACACTCACTTTCTGTGAGATACCCCTGAGGGAAACCCACAAGGACCTACCCTGATGCAACCAGAACCCTGGACCTAGAGAAGCCACGTGGAAAACCCTGCCAGCTCTGAGATGCTTACAGTGCCACTGGATCCACAGGCTTCTCACCCACTGGCCTGGGATCATCTTGCATTCCATATCATTGCATGTGTTTTGTGAGTCTGAAGAGGACTTTATAGACCAGTACTGGACATATGGACAATATAGGACTTATGGGCTTGAACTGGACTGAGTTGGGATGCTTTCTTAATGTCCACTTACCCTTTGTATAAAACTCTCTCTTTACATGTATGAGTGTCCATGGATTTGTTTCTATGGTCTACCAGGACTAACACACCAATCAAAAAATCCCTTGGACCAGATGGCTTCACAGGAAAATTCTACCAAGCCTTCAGGGAAGAATAGACACCAATCTACACAAACTCTTCCAGAACAAAGAAAAAGATGGCAAACGCCCAAACTCTTCCTATGAAGCTAGTGTAACTCTGATACCTAAACTGGGCAAGGATCCCATAAGAATTGAGAACTATAGACCTATTTCCCTAATGAACATCGATGCAAAAATCCTTAACAAAATATTGGCCAACAGAATACAAAAGTATATGAAGCAAATAATTCACCATAACCAAGTGGGATCATACTAGGGATGCAGGGATGGTCCAACATATGAAAGGCCATTAGTATTATTCACCATATTGAATTAAAAAATTATAAGAACCACATGATAATATCGATAGATGCGGAAAAAGCATTTGACAACATCCAACACCAATTCCTGTCTAAGACACTCAGGAGGATAGGAATGGAAGGAAAATTCCTCAATATAATACAAATTATATATGGAAAAACAAAAATCAATGTGGTAGTCAATGGAGAAAAGATGAAAACAATCCATCTGAAAAAGGGGAGCAGACAAGGATGCCCCTTATCCCAACTCCTATTTAACATCGTGTTGGAGGTCATAGCTAACAGTATAAGGCAAAGAAAAGACATCAAAGGCATTCATCTGGGGAAGGAAGAGATGAAATTCTCATTATTCACAGATGATGTGATTTTATATATACAAAATCGCAAAAGTTTCACAAAGGGAGTGCTAGAAGCGATAGAGGAATATGGCAGAGTGGTTGGATACAAGATCAACAGACAGAAGTCTATTGGACTGCCTTGCACATCAGACAAGACCATGGCACCCCAGCGGAATGGACTGGAAAACACATAGATTAGGTCCACAGACAGACCTGGAACTGTTTGAGGGCTTTTCAGTTTTTGCTGTTGGTTTTTCTTTTTTTCTGTATTTTTTTGTTTTGTTGTATTAGTGGTTGTTGATTTCTGTTTTGTCTCCTTTTTTTGTTATGTTTTTGTGCGCATTATTGTCTATGCATGTCTATCTGGACAAGATAGGCGGGATGAACAATCTGGAGGAGAGACAATGGGACCGACAGTTCAGGAGGACAAAGGAGAGGGGGAGATGGGGGAAAAGGAGGGGGGTGCCAACAAACCCAGGGACAAGGAAAGAATAAGTGATCTAAAATTGATGGCAAGGAGGGCATAGGATGCTTGGGGGGGGGGGGGGGGATTCGATCAAGGGTAATGTAGCTGAGAGGAATTACCAAAATCCGAATGAAGGCTGAACATGATAGAGGGATGGGAGGAAAATAAAAGGAAATTGAGGAAAGAACTGGGAGGCAAATGACAATTATAGAGGTCTAAATACAGGCATGTATCTATGTTAATGCATTTAAATACAATAACAGTGGAATAGATCTATGTACATATATTTATTTATAAAGTATTACAGTAGCTGATGGGCATCAGGCCTCCATTCAAATACTCCCTCAATGCAAGAACAATTTGTTCTACTAACACAGCACTCTGTGATGTTCACCTTCCTTGACATGATCATTGAAGACAAAATGGGTGCAGAAGCAAATGTGGTGAAGCAACCTGATGGTGCACAGCTATCAAAAGATATAGCGTCTGGGGTTTTAAAGGATTGAAGATAAATAAGCACCCATCTAGCTGAGAAGCAACAAAGCCCACATGGAAGAAGGGCACCAGTGCGTGTGATCATGAGGTGTTGATGGGATCAGGAATCAGGCATCAACGACCCAACAAAACAAACAAACAAACAAATAGAAAGCATATCAATGGGAATGAGGGGGAGGGCAGAGTGGAGGCCTAAAGCCCATCAGTAGTCAATTGGACACCCCTTGTCAGAAGGGCCACAAGGAAAAGATGAGCCAGTCATGGTGCAGTATACCACCGACGGAACACACAACCTTCCTCTAGTTCTTTAATATTTTCTCCCCGCCCCCACTACCATGACCCCAATTCTATATTACAAATCTGTATAGATCAGAACATGTACACTGGTACAGATAAGAGCTCACAACACAGGGACTCCAGAGCAGATAAACCCCTCAGGACCAATAAGGTGAGCAGCGATACTAGGAGGGTAAGGGGTCAGGGAGTAAGAGGGAACTGATCACAGTGATCGACATATGACTCCCCCCTCCCAGGGGGATGGACAACAGAAAAGTGGATGCAATGAGACAGCAGTTGGTGTAAGACATGAAAAAAAAAAGAAGAATTCATAAATTATCAAGGGGACATGGGGGAGGGAGTGTGGGAGAGGGAGTGGGAAAACGAGGAGCTGATGCCAGGGGCTCATGTAGAAAGAAAATGTTTTTTAAAAGATGATGACAACATGTGTACAGATGTGTTTTGCCCAATGGATATATGTATGGATGGATTGTGATAAGACCTGTAAGAGCCCCCAATATAATTTTAAAAATCATCTTTTGTGTGGGAATTAATATAATTAATAATTATAACCAGTAGCAACACCAAGAGAAGAGAGAAGCCCTGTAGTTGAGTAAGAAAGAGCACGGACCCAACTTTCACCAAGAAAGGAGGATTTGCTGAGCCCGTATTAGGTTGTGGCCAACATGGTGGAAAAACAGATGTGCTTAATACTCAAGTCTATGTATTTTTTGTTTTTGATTTTGTTTTGTTCTCAGTGTGATAATTCCTTTGCGTTATCTTTAAATATTCGGCAAAATGTGAAGACCATGACATACTTGCGTCAGCTGTGCTTTGAGAAGTTCACACAGAAGTCCTGTGTCCACGTCCACTGCATGTTTCTGCATTAAAAAATCGACTTGAAACAAAGATGGGAAAAAGTGAAAACAGTATGGTATGTTAAGTGTAATCTCTACAGGTCAGAACAAGAGATGACAAATACTGGAGTGGATTTGTAACAAGCACTTCTATGGTAATTATATAATCTGGTGTCAATTTAAGACTATTAAGAGTGAAGGGATGGAGTTTAGCCTGTCAATCAGGTCTCAGCTTGATGGCCTCATTTGAAGGTACTACAGAGATAAATAGCTCACTGGAAGCCAGACCAAAATACTCTCTGCTTAGTCATCCTGCTGACAAGCTGGATGGAGCTACACTGATGGAGCCAGAGTGCTGGAGCTGGAGGAGCCATTTGGAGGCCCACGCCAGTGCTGAGATGCTCCCACTGCCACTGGATCCACAAGACTTCCCACCCACTGGCCTGTGATCTTCTTGCACTGGTGTCATTGCATATGCTGCGTGAGTCTGGAGAGGAATTTATAGTCTGGTATCAGACATATGCGCTAACATCAGACTTATGGACTTGATCTGGACTGGGCAGGGATGTTTTCTTAATATATACTTACTCTGATATAAAGCTCTTTCTTCTACACATGAGTGTCTCTGGATGTTTTTCTAGTCAACCCGGACTAACACAACTTCTTAGTAATGCTCAGTAAAGGTGGGCAGAAAGGAAATGCACTAAGTTGGAAAACTATTTCCAATAATATGTATTGGGACACTAAACCAATTCCAACAATGTGTGCTGGGCATTAAAGACATTGATGTCATGAAATCAAATGCCTAGATGAGGTAGCAAAGGGGCTTCCTACAGACATTTCACCACATGCCTATAATTCAACTTCCGAAAAGGCTGGTCTTCATCACAGTGTAGACTCTACCAGAAATCTGAATCACCAGGTTAGCTACCTCAGTCCTATGTGCCTTTTCGAGTTTGTTTGTTGAGATTTTCAATTTATCTGAAAGAAAGAATTTAAATCTGTGGAACTCTTTATTGGTGATGTTATCCAGTCCAATGAACAAAAGGATTCCCTTGTATTTACTCTCCATCTCCTGACTTTGAGACTAGTCTATTAAAATCCAAAGCATACAATTGAACACCACCATAAATGAATTCTACGTGCAAATATAAAAAGCAAGGTGAGTTGGCTATCTATGTATTTAGTGTCAGTGAATTGTGGGCATGGATAAGGTGGAATTGGCAAATATTGTGCTAGCTATATTTTTACAAAATAAAAAGGGAAAACAGACAAAATTAGTTGAAGCGTAGCTAGAGATGCAGGTGAAATATAAGTAAGAATGTCTTAATCCAATGGCCACAACAACTGAGGAAAGAAACCTTCAGAGAATATACATTTCTAGAATTCTTTCTCTTTTGTAAGGCAGATTTATTGAGGGATAATTGCCATACGGTAAAGTGTATACATTTTAAGCATAGGATTTGATAAATTTTGGTATACACTTGATATAGTCCAATCTATCGCTTTGTTCTTTTTAATTGTGCTTTTGGTATTGTCTCTATAAAATTCTTTCCTGACACAAGAGCAAAATATTTTCTCCTATGGTTTTCTCTCAAAATATTATGACCTGAAGTTTTCCATTGAGATCTATGATCTATTTTGTGTGTTGTGCAAGCATTGGTTTAAAGTTCTGCTTGTTTTGTTGTTGTTGCTGTTTTTAGAACAAGGATATTGACTTTTTTCATATATTTAAAGCAGTTTTATTTGGCACTTTGTCCACATATCTTCCAAATCAATAGTTCAACCATATCAAGAAGAGTTGTACAATCTTTACCACAATTTTAGAGCATTTTATTTTTCCTCATTCTCATTGCTATTCATACACACAACAAAACTGCTACCAACTCAACTTCTACATGCATAATTCAGTGCCATTGATTAGATACTTCATGTTGTACAACCATTATTGGTATCCCTCTCCAAATCCTTCCACCACTTTAAAATGAGCTCAATGCCCCACTAAGCAAAACTCTTCCTCCTTCACCCGTGATAACCACAGGTCACGTTTGGTTTCTTTTCCCCCAGTATTTGTCTTGATATACTATTCACGTATCATACACTTCCATAGTGAAACCACTTCTAAAACTAGTTCTATATACATCGTCACAATCAGCTCTAAGGCTGCCTCCCCCCTCCCACATTCATTGATCTTTCCCCAATTCTCCTTCCCTTCCCCATCCTCCCCACCACCCACCACTTACCGATAAACCATTGCATCAGTTATTGTCTCTATGTATCCACTTCTGTGCTCCATAAACAGAGGGATCTAACAGAAACAATAAAAATAACAGAAAGAAGAAATCAATAATAATAATAATAGAAAGATAAAACTAAAGAGAGAAAGAAAAAAATAACCAATAATATATAAAAAGCCAGAGAAGAAATTTATTTCTTGGAACAACTGGGGAATATTTGAGCCAAGTCAGTTGACCTCTCTTTTGACCCAACCTGGGTGTTGAATTTTTTCTGGTAACATACACTGAAAGACTGTTATTTCTCCACTGATCTGTTTTTGCACGTTTGTCAAGAGTTTGCTGTCGGTGGATTAATGTATTCTCAAGATTCTGTTTCTTCAGCTGAACCATTTCTCTATCTTAACGCTTGTGACACAATCTTGATAATTTGACTCTGTGTGTATTATCCAAGATGACTTACAAATATTAGAACTAAAAATAGTGAAACTACTTTAACACAGCCTCCACATATAAAATCAATATACAAAAATTACATTCTTTTATTTCAGCAGCATCCACTTAGAAAAATAAACTTGAGTAGAAAATATGTTAAAGCATATTTTGAATAGCAAAACTGAAAAGTAACCTAAAGACATCTAACAAAATATGTAAAAGACCTTTGGAGAAAAGAGTGATAAAAATTTTAATGAAAGTATTTGAAAATTAATAAATGGAGAGGCATGTGATGTTTCAAATGGGAAGATCCAATAACATAAAGGTGGCCACTCTTCACAAATTCACATGTGCTACCAGCACATGTTACCAAACTTCATTCGGAATCTCAAAAAATCTATAAAGACTCTAAAACCTTATTTTGTTGAACCTAAAATGTCCATGAATGAGTAATGACTAAAATACTCAAAACAAATGTGAAGATAAGTATTACTCACCTTAATAATACCAACAAATTAGTGTAAAGTCATTTGAAATCCTATTGACCCTACTAAATATCAGTTGTAAACAACTGATTGTGACCTTTAGGAGGATTTAATTATGCACAAAGGCAGAGTCAATGCTAATGAGTTCTGAATCATTACTGTAACACAACCTTATTGTCATTTCTTACAGCCTGGAGGAATTCTACTTACACATATAGAGTTTATCCATGAAAAAGAAAACCAATACCTTAGCAGCTTCAAAACAAAAAATACATGGAAATTCTTGGAACGATAAAGTCACTCAATGTCCAGTCCTGCAAACCTACTCTGTGTAGGCTAAAACACTCTGCTGTAGTCCTATTATGTACTAAAATTACAGTTCATTTACATTTTATATCTGACAAAATTAAGGCTTGGTCATTTCTGTGAAGAAGTGTTTCTAGCTTACAAATGTAAATTTTGAATTTTATTACATAATGCCTATTTAATTAAAGACTGTTTTAATTAAAATTATATACCCCAATGTTTACAATGTATACCCAAAGAAAATAGGTGTTTCTCTGTGGACATGCACAGCCATGTGAAAAACACGGTGCTGTTCTGCAAAGTTGTCAGTGTACTCTCACAGTTCACAGAGGGCTTTGGCACGGTGCCTGGAACTAGAAGTGAAAGGAAGCAGTCATAGACAGCCTCTAACACTGGAACAGTCATCCCTACCTTCCAGTGTCACTTCAGAGAACAGAGGAACAGAGGGTGTAAAGTTCACAGACTGACACACACCTGCTGTCATTGAGTAGAATCTCCCAATTATTACATGTTGAATTAAGCACCTAGGTGAAACTACTAGCCCAAGGTCACACAGGAAACCTCCTGGAGTAGCGTTACCTGTTGGGCTGCTACCTTCATGGTCAGTAATTTGAAACCACCAGCCACTCAGTGGGAGAAACATGAGGCTTTCTAGTGCCCTAAAGAGTCACAGTTTGGAAAAACCACAGGGGCAGTTCTACCCTGTCCTGTAGAGATACTGTGAGTCGGCATCAATTCGATGGCAGTGAGTTTGGGTTTTGGTTTGAGGGCCACACAGCTGGTGAGTAGAAATGATCAGAATCCAGGGATCCAGGTCATCTGCTCTTTCTATTGCCAACTGCATTCTTGTTGATCGGAGAGTGTGCTATGATTGTCTGCTTCATTAAAAAATGAAAATCAACAATAAGGACAGAAAAGGCTGGTGTTACAGACTGTGATATGGGAGGAGAAATTAAAGGTGAAACCACTCCAGGGTCTAAGAATTAGCGATGATGATTAACCAGCCACAGAGACTGAAGAAATGGCCAGAATGGTAGGAAGCGACCCAGGAAGAGGTGTGCTCTGAAAGGTCAGAAAGATAATTTTTGACAGAAAGGATCAACTGTGACACACACACACACACACACACACACACACACACACACACACTATAGGGGAAAAAGAAAATTGCCTGTTCCCTAAGGTTTCTGAGCTTGGAAATCTTCACTGGAGTGGACAGCCTTTTCTTTCTCCTTGGGATTTGAATCACCAACCTTGCGATTAGCAGCCTACTGCTTAACCCACTGTGCCATCAGTACTTTTAAAAACTGCCATCGGCTCTTGTTGTTCAGGTAAGATGGGACTGAAGACATGGCATAAAAGTAGCAATGTGGGGTCACTGGTGACCTTGACCATGGCAGTTTTGATGACATGGTGGGGAAGATCGTCTAAGATAGGTGGGAGGAAAATAAACTTTGCTGTGTGTATTTGCCTTTTATTACCTTTGTAAGTGAGGTCATATAATATTTATCCTCTGTGTAAGTAATATTTTGTTGTATGCATGCATCACATTTGGCATGTCTCTTAATCCGCTATGGGCATTTAGGTTGTATCTAGTCTTTGGGCCATGCTATTGCGAATGGTGCTTTGCAGAAGCTGGTGTACACGTCTCTGAGTTTCTGCTTTCAAGTTTTTGGTGGATAGACTTAGGAGTTAAATTGATAGATCTAGTTGATAATTCTGTTTTTAGCTTTTTGAGAAAGTGCCACTCTATTTTCCTTTACGATTGTATCATTTTTGCAGACCCACCAGCAATGGGTAAGGGTTCCAGTTTTCGCACATTCTCATCCCACTTTCTGTTTTTGTTGTTGCTTTTTATCTTTGACATCCTAGTGGGAGTGAAATGGTATCTCATGTGTTTTGATTGTGGTCTTTCTGATGACTAATGAGAGCTCTTCTGGCACAGTCGTTGAACTGCTCAGCTGCTAACCACAAGGTAAGTGGTTTGAACCCACCAGCTGCTCCCCAGCAGAAAGATGTAGCAATCTGCTTCTGTAAAGATTTATGGCCCTGGAAACTTGTCCAATAGAGGTGGAATCTACTTCACAGCAGGGTCTCGCTCCTCTCAATGACTTTGAGAATCTTTTCATGAGCTTGGTAGTCATTTTTATATCCTCTTTGGTGAAATGTCTAGTCAAGTCCTTTGATACCTCATGATTTGTCTTTTTTCCCTTTAAGTTGCTAAAATTTTATATTATTTGGGTTATTAGATTCTTACTGAACATATGGTGTCTGAAGATATTCTCCCAGCTCAGCAGTTTGTGTTTTAACTTTTTCGTATAAGTTTTTGTTGGAGAAAATTGTATGACTTTTATGAGGTTAATTTTATTTATTTTGTCATTTGGTTTTTATGCTTTTATCATTATTTACCTTTTTGTTGTTGAGATGTTGATGTTTCCTATAAATTTTAGTGATTCGTTTCTTCAATATGTTATTGCCAAATTGTTTCTCCCAGCCTGTGGATTCTCTTTTTACTGTTCTTAATGAAATCTTTTGATGCGCACACATACACACAAACTCGCCGCCATCAGTCGATGCTGACTCATAGTGAGTAGAATCACCTCTGGGAGCTT